GTCTTAAATAGCTTGAAATAATCACGAAGCGCAAGTGTTCAAAATGGTTGCAAGATTCCTATTCCGTATTGAGTAATTTTTGCTTTGCACCCAATTCTTATTGAAGGTTCTGTTTCTTTTGAAGTATGAAGAATTTCAGTATTTTTGTCCTGGTGCTTTTTCTTATAATACGGTTAACAGCACAGAAAATGGAATCACTGTACTGAGTTCTGGATTCGATCTAATCTTTTGTGTTTACCTCGCCCACATGCCCTTGCGAAAGACAATCTATTCTCCCTAAAACTGAGTTAAATAGCAGAATAGATTGGGCTCGCATGTCTTTGTTGGGAGACAGTCTAGGAGACGGAGAAGTCTAAATTCAAAATCGTGGAGAAAGTAACAGGAAACTACTCCTTTATCTTTCCTCAAAAAGTCATGATAATTCACAGATAACAAAGAAAAAAAATTCGTGGAGAGCCATGATCGCCTACGTCTCTAAGAGACATGTCATTAAGAATGAAATCTAAAGCAATCGTATATATATTACACATTGTTCCACTTTAGTACAAGGCCCAAGGGCCACTCAAGGTAGAAGGTTATAGTGAGATTGTAGTAAGGAAGGAGAAAGGTTGTGGTAAGAAGTGCATATTATGAGGCTATGTAGGAGATATATTGGTTGATCCTGGTCTTGAAAATATTAAGAGCATAGTGGTCAAGGAAGCATCCTCTCGGGAGTCTGTTCCACAAAGTAATATTTCTAGAGAAATAAGCTGCTTGAGTGGAACTTACTCCTTACCAAATGAGTTCAAAAGGAAGTGGGGTGATTTGCTACTGTGAATATGGCATGGCGAGTCCTAGATATAAAGGTCTGTGCTGGTTGAACTAAGGAATGTAAATCATTTGAACATTTGTCATATTTACAAAGATAGAGTAATGAGAGGATAGTAAAGTGTCGTTTGTGGAAGAAGGGTTGCAGGGTAGAGAATAATTAATCACCCACAAAATAAACACACTTGAATTCTGTCAAGGCTGGGAAGTGAGGACTAGACAGCATCATCTCAGCTATGTCAGCAATACTCCATTCTTGGTCTAGATTGTTTCGTAACTTAGTAATATAACCGAAATCCAGCTATATAAACCAACACACACATATACAGGGTGCGATGGGTAAATTGTTACCATTTTAGATATTTAAAAAAAAAATTTGCGCATGCGTGTTGTTTGTTTTGTATTTTGTCGACTGCATAGTATAATAGGGTCAGTTGGGCATCGTCTGTGAGAAAAAAGAACACCATGACGCAATTCACTCCGCCAGAAATTTGGAAATGACATGCTGTACTGCTTGGCATTCGCGTCGGAAGCTCTAACAATCTGAGGAAAGTGCAGAGGATTTAGAAAGAGTTGGATGAATCTAATGGTGATTACGAAGGTATGGCATCTCGGAAAACTCACTTTGATCATTCTGATAAGAACTCCCGAATTTGTTGGTGACGGCCACAGACTCAACACGAAGTCCAACATTAAATGCCTTCAGGAAGTAGTGCTGCCCTGGATCAAGAGGGTGGCTGCTGGAAGACCCTATGTCTGGCAACAGAACTCTGCACCATAACATACAATTAGGAGAACCCAGTTATGTCTATCAGACAATTTCTGCAACCACATCCCCCTTAAATCTGGCCACCTAACTTCCCAGACTGCAACCCAAGTGATTATTATGTTTGAGACGCAGTTAAATGACAAAACCCTTTGTAACACCAAAGATGAACTGAAGTCAAGGATTATGGCAACATTTACTAAGTTAATCAAGGAGACCTTTCAGAAGAGTTGCAAGAGATTACGAAATCGTCTGGAGGCCGTGGTTAAAGCCAATGGTGATTTTATTGAATAAATATACTCTTTAGTATTTCAAGATGATTTTGTGTAATTTTAGTAAATATTTCTGTTAAAATGAGATGTCAGCTTTGTCTTCAATTTCGCGTCATTTAGACGACAATTTATTCATCGTACTCTGTAGATGTCGCTGGATGGTTGGTTGACTTATTTTAGCCGTATATCAACACCTCTGCGAGTTATTTAATACCGAAATCTAAATATTTTGAACACAATTGTATGCCTTCAACTACGGATAAAATATATTGTTGGTCATTTTGTCATAAAATGTATTGTTGGTCATTTTGTCATAAAATGTATTGTTGGTCATTCTACTATACAATGTATTGCTCGTCATTTTGCTTTTAAAATATATTGCTGGTAATTTTGCTAAATATATTTTGGATATTTTTTATACAAAAATGTATTGCTGGTAAAAGTATTAAAGTGCATATTATGAGGCTATGTAGGAGATATATTGGTTGATCCTGGTCTTGAAGATATTAAGAGCATAGTGGTCAAGGAAGCATCCTCTCGGGAGTCTGTTCCACAAAATAACATTTCATAAAAAATACCCAATACAAAATGTATTGCTGGTATACTTTATTCCTATAAAGTATATTTTTATACTTTCATAATGTTTTGCTTTTGTTTCAGGGTTCACTATTTGCCGATAGCTAGGGCCCTAACAAGTGCTACCACCCTGTGTTAGGGTGGACTTGGGAACATCAGCAATTAAGAGGTGGTTTCATGCTCCTCAAATCCTCCAATCTCTTAATCAGAAGCCTTGCTGCTGAATGCAGTTTATCTTCATACCCAGGACTATAGATGTCGTAAATTTTGCCAATACACAAATGTACTGGCATTTAAGAAATTCAAAAGTATGTATAGTATCAACCTTCTTAGTGAGGAGAACCGACCTGGCTTGAAATTCAGAATCTAAATTCACTTTTATCCGAGTTCAAACTGTCTATGCTGTTTTTCATGTTCCTATTGTACTAAGGCATGGCCAGTTCAAAGTTTTGTTGGATCAAACGACTCCTGCAACTTCTGTCCTATAACAAGCCTTATATCCACAATTTCACCAGCCCTCAATTATACAGAGGATTTTTTCAAAGACTTTATTTCTAATAACCAGTTTTAGAATTTCATTATTTTGTCCCTTTGATCTTTAACATTTTGTAGTTTGCGAACAATGTCAAGAAATAACAGAGGTCTGAATCGAATTTAATGGCCATCTTGAACATTTGATCTAAGAAGAGTTGATCTGTGGTGACCCTAATATGTACTAAGATCACCCCAAGAGATACCAAAATAAGATGCGTATTCGGTGTCATTTTATAAAATGAAAAAACCTAGCAACTTCGAGGGCTGACCTAGAAAGTGACATGGGATATTGGTGGGTGCACCAGCATAAGAATAAAGTGGATCCAGCTGAATTTATGATATACACACTAAAGACACATAAGACACATAAGACAATTAGATGAGAGGAAGTTATATAAATGCTAGACCTATAAGGGGAGAAGCCAAAGTTCATTAAATCCTCGCAAGAAGATCAAACGTTCGAAGGAAGACCCAATATCACATGCCACTAAATTCGGCCGACATTAAATTGAGTCTGGAGTATTTATAAGGTGTGAGTAAGCATTTATCTTACGTATTAAAAATTGTCTCGTTTTCTTATCAGATGTCACTAACAAAACATTACACGGTTAATGAAGAAACGGCGTGTACATTAAACAATGTAGGCACGGAGACACCACAGAACAGTTCAACCTGCTCTTGGATCAATATAGACAGGTATACACGCCAGACACGACTCTTAATTTTAATTTTATTTTTATTTTCTTTATTTTTAAAAATTGTTTTTTGTCAGAAGCCGTTGCAAAGGTTAAATATAAGTGATGTGATGGAGTATCCTGCCACCCCTATGAGTGACGGCACTATATGTGGTAACCACCTATAAGTATCCGTTAGGACAGCGGACAGCGGAGTCGAGCTGGGATCTTTCCCAGTTGCGCTAGTCGAACTCTCTACCTTCGGAACCCGGATGAGGCTATGCTGAAGGGCAGAGTTTATGCGGGGTCTACGGGGATTTTTTGGCCGAGCCTACGGGCTCGGGAACCTCACTTTAAATTCGGCCGTGTGCCACATGCGACTGTGCTAATAGGAATATGGACGGGACAAACACGGTGGATAAATAGTAATAAGTTTATTGGAGAAACCAGTGCAACAAGCAAGGAAGTAATAGTTATGCGCACGGTCCTCTTAAAGTCTAGTATAATTTGTTAGGTATTGTATTATCGAAGGCTGCTCGTACTCGCAGATCCCAGCTCGACACTATTTAGCTGGGATCTGCGAGTACGAGCAGCCTTCGATAATACCAGCACGTACACAACGTCCATATTCCTATTAGCACAGAATACCACAGTACGAAAAACAAGTTCAAAATTATTTAAAATGTCAGAGTTCGCCAGCGATATTTTACTTTAAACTCCGTATGGAAGAAAATCGTTTTTAATGACTTTAGTCGATATATTATCAGCATCAGAAATTTCACAATTTTCTGACGCTGATGAAAATTGTGAAGTTACCGGCCATTATTTTAATGAATTTTGATTGATTTGTTTTTGTTGTTCTTGTTTTTTTAACAGCTTATCAACCCTTATTTTAAATCAATTTACCCCAAGCAAGGTGATAATGCTACTAAGACGCAAAGGTCTACTAGGAATGAAAGAAAAGGAAAATACTTTACAAGGAACCGAAAACTCAATTCCAAACAAGAAGCGAGGGATCTTAAATTTAATATATATATATATATATATATATATATATATATATATATATATATTGTAGCAGTGGATGTGCGCGTAGGGATTATTCAAAAGTCAGAGGAGGAGTGCGAACCGGACCTGTAAGATATTTAAAGCCAGAAAATATTTTTGCTCGTAAGATTTTTTAATATAATAATAATTTAGTTATAAAGTCCTACTAATTAATCCATAACCTGGTGAGAAGAAGTGGGTTTATACTTTTTTCAATGGTATTTTGGCGTAAGCGAATATAAAGAACCCGACTGGATTTGGAACTCAGCACTCCGATTTCCAATTCCGAGCCGTTATCCGTTACACCACCCGCATATCCAACCCTACAGTCCGTGTATTCCCAAGTGTTCACCCATCTAGGTACTGACCAGGCTTGATATTGCTTAACTTCAGTGATCTCACGAGAACCGGTGTTTCAACGTGATATGCTGTAAGACTTTTTTTCCTGAAATTACACATCAAGAGAAAATGCAATTTTCTCAAACATCTTGAACATTTTGTTATGTTCTAAATAAACTCAAATCGTCTAGAGTTGCGTTAGGGTTCTAAAAAGAGATGGAACTAGTCAAGGTTTAATAATTGCATTGCACCATCTTAAATTAATATATATATATATATATATATATATTGTAGCAGTGGATGTGCGCGTAGGGAAGTGGGATTGGCATTTGAATTTAAATTACAGCCGAGGGCATTGCGTTCGTTTTCACACAAATATTCTTCGAAAGGTATGAATCCATCCCTTCTCTCCACTTTCCTCAACAGCTAGGGGTTCTATAGCTTTAGTCGTCAACTAGTCGATAAGAGGGACAACACTGAATCCCAAACCGTTTGAGAGTGGAGTTAGAAACTCCACCCAGTAGAAGTCTATTTTCTACTGAACCACAGTAGCAACACCTAATGAGGTTATGGTCCTATACTCAACACACATGTAGTAGTAGTAATAGTAGTAGTAAAGGTAATAGTAACACGAGAATGGAATCTTACAACCAAGTGTTTGTATTTGATTTCCTTTTTTTTTTTCAATTATTTCTCAGCCAGTATATATAACGATAAAAATAAAAAATATAACAAAACGTCGACCGTACCTTCTTGTCTGTATTGTATGAGAAGCTGCCTTAGATGATTGAAGTTTTATTTATCAACCTCTTGCTTGAGAAACGCAGATTTTATTATATATATATCTAAATATTGGCCTGGAGCTCACCTCAGGTCGAGCCGCTGATGCAGGTGTCTTCTTTGGTGGTCTAGTGTGACATTGAATGCAATGTCTATTCTGACAAAATACTACATAAGCAAACAATTGGCGTAGTGTAAACCCTGGATAATGAATATTATATTATTCTGACTAAATCTGAATAATGTTGGCTGGGTGGGTTTCGTAGCCTAATATACAAGGTGCTGCCATGTTTAGACAGCTTCAAACAATAATGGATACGTGTAAAAGAACAAAGAAACAGCAAAAAAATATGAACGAAAAATAGTCAAAAATTAAAAATTCTCAGTCTAAAAAATATTTCTGAGATGATATATTATATATATTTATTTATATTATTCGGACTATTGTCCTCATCTTTTTCGCCATATCTATCATAACGTTTCGGCCAAAGATTTTTTTAATGGCCTTTTTCATTCAAATATGGAATTTTTGGGAACCCTTTATTTCAAATAGCCTAGGGGATAGACTGTTTAGTTTTTAATTTTGTTTAATGGATGTCAGTTATCAGTTATCTCCTGTTACATTCCTCTGAAATAAAGAAAAATTGCCTTAACCGGGTATTGAACTCGCACTCTTTGGGTCCTGTCACTGGATCTAACCAACGCCTTTATCCACTGGGCCATGTGTCCTTGATATCTGACCTTTCAAAGAGGACTTCAAAAGTAACTAGTAACTATTTCTCTTGAAAATGGACAAAATTTGGCATGCATTGTGGTGTTATCAAGTACCTGTAGAAAAAGGGCTTAGCTCCCAAAGATATTCATGCTGACATGGTTGCTACATTAGAATATGATGCTTCAGCTTTATCAGTAGTGCAAAAGTGGGCAGCTGAATTTAGGAGGGAAAGTGAGAATGCCTTAAAGTTTAAATTCCTGCAACTGCCACCTCCTGAGAAAAAATATTGCAGTTGTTCATTTTAATGGTGATGGATAACATAAATTTAAAATGAATCAAATAGCCAGTGCTATTAGCATTTCTCATGAGAGATTAAATATTCTGCGCAATGAACTTGATTGATTTATTTTGCTCGGTGGGTGATATGTCTTCTGACACCTGATCAACAACACGTGAATTGCAACAGCCCAACACGCAAACTACAAATTGGAGACATTGAAACCCAGCAAGTAGAACAATTTAAATATCTAGTAACAGAGGACGAAAAATACGACACCGAAATCTGAAGGCGCATTGGAATAGCGAAAGATGCCAACCAAAAATTAAGCAAAGTATTAAGAAACAGTAAAATTTCATTAGGAACCAAGAACAGAGTACTGAACTGTTATACGAGGGTGGGATGAAAAATTCAAAGACTGACTATAAAGGCGTGATGCTAGAGCCGTGCAATCTTACATGCATTAATTTCAACTCTTCTTATTAATAACCGCATTTCTTATTTCCAGGTATACTGAGATCTAACTGTTAAAGGAAGACTGTTCATCCTGTTAGTCAAAAAGTTATGAACAGTAGATATTACGTCATCATCACTACGATATTAGTTCATAGCCAAGTGATAGTCAGATGATAGTCAAATTACGAGAATAGGGAGGGTGATGAAATAAGACCACTTTCGTCAGTTTTCATGTGCATTTACTCTTGATGGTGTCCTTTCGAAATGCCTCAATTAATACTAAGACAACATATAAAATTTCTCCATTAATGGTGTATTTTTTTGAACATCAACAAACACAACGTCTTTTGGGAGAAAAAAAACCTTACTTGCCAATGAAAGAAGTACCTTGGATTTTTTGGAGAAATTTAAAGATCTGATGTTTCTATTGCATGGTTTGTCAGGATCTTTGATTCTGTCTCAAAGTGTTGAAACCCAGTTGAAAGATTACCGAGAAAATGGAAACATTTAAGGAAACCAGTTGGATCTGCCTGAAACAATGTCAGATTTTCCCGTGATGTTAAATCTGCATGATGAGATCTTTTGATCAGGTGTCAGATCAAGAGAAGAATAGAGATAGCTATTTTAAAGTCAGATTTTGGACTGTCAGACGTCTATCTACCTGGAGACTTATTACCGTTATTTATAAGAAGATTCATGGAAATTAATTCAATGCAAATTTCACATTTTGGAAATTATTCCTTCATAGTCAGCCTCTGAACTTTTCAGCCCACACTCGTATTAGATTCACTTCGTCCTATAATAGCTGTTCTATTTAATGTATGAAAGTTGTCCTGAAATAATTGTTACATTTGTAAAAAAAAAGAAAAAAATTAAATGAAAATGAAATAATTAATTCAAAGTTTGAAATTATTAATTTCTAGAAACATTTAATTAAATTTACATTTAATCATTTTTGGAATATGAAATACCATCAGGATTATATTTAATGCTGTTTGATAGCCGATTTTTAAACGTTGCAGCACAGTATTCCGAATACCATTTATCATGTCGGGCTTTGTCTTCTTCAACATGCCGTGTCCCTTCAAGACGTGAACGATAATGGTGCACCAGAATGTCCTGTCCTTTGTAGCTCTTAGTAAAGCTTGTTTTTTTGTGCTCTCTTAAGTCCTGTGAGTGTAAAATTTTCGAAGCCTTCTTTGGCATTTTGCCCAAAAAACATTCAGCTGTCTCCATGATGTATTTTGTCTTTTTTTGTTTCCAATTTATAAATCATTATCACATGTTCTCAGTATCTTTCTGTAGAATCACATGTCTATTGCCTCAGATCTCTTCATGTGTGAGGAAATTCTCCAGCATTCACTGTCATATGGGAGAACTGATATTACGTAACAGTTCAGTAAACGTCTTTGTTTCTAACGAGACACTCTTGTTTTTAATACTTTGCTTAGCTTTTGGAAGGCATCTTTCACTATCCCAGTGCGCCTTCGAATTTTTGTCCTCGCATTTCCCGCTTTTTTTCATCGAACCACCCTCAATTAACGCAGTAAAGCCAAGATTACAAGGGGTTACTGGGCTGAAAAAAGAATGAGGAACAGAAACATTACTAATGAGCGGGAAGACAAATTTTAATCTGGAGGGCAGGAGATAGCGATTGACATTGCATTTAAATTTTTGCAGATCAAAGTTGGCTCAATTAAATGGAACCAGATGGGAGCAACTTCAAGTGAGAAGTAAGGAGAAAAAACTGTTAGCATAGAACATACGGTTACATCTAGCCAGTTCAGCTAGTACTGCGTTTAAATTAAAAAAAAAAAAAGACTATGGTACCATAGTGCTTTCCATAGATCATCCGAACAATTACCATGAAATTATTTATAGAAAAGCTTAATAGAAGTTTTTACCAGTTTGGGAAAATGACTGAAGCCGAGATGACCAGATCATGACAGATAATAAATTGGCTGATTCTTTGTAATTGCTTGAATATGGTATCTCCAATTTGCAGTTCGTGTATTGGACTGTTTCTTATACTGATAACTATACATTGTATCTTCTTATAATTTAGTCTTGTCAGAATCCATTTTGTCATTTTTTTTACTACCATTCAGTAGGATGATTGTAGTTTCCTTTACATATCTTCTAAAACACTTGTCATCAGTATATCTAATGTTTTAAGACTGTTCTTGCCAATAAATAAATTTTCATTATTTTTAATTTCCAGGATTCTTACTGCAAATCGTTGGATAAGTCTTACCAAAGTCGTATCCTTGTCTTATAAATATTTTCAAATTTTTTCTAATATTTTTCAAAATTAATTTTCTGTCGGTATTACTAGAAGCATTTTTGCTCTCATTATAATGTTGTTCTGGATAATTTTAATATCCTTCCCAAAGACAATCAGAATTATATAAGATGAAGTTTTACAATGCAAAAGTTTTTACATTTTGTAAAAAACATGTTTTAAATTGCCATTTTTAATTGATATGCTAAAATGCACAACCTTCAAATCTATAAATCAACCACTCGCCCTTGCATAGAATACTGCTGCCGTATATGGTCTGGAGACCCCGCTGTTCATCTCAAGGTTCTCGACAAAATCCAGAGACTGATATGCAATGTGATTGGTCCTGATCTGGCATCTCGTCTACAGTCACTTTCTCACAGACGCCGTCGCTTCCCTCTGTCTTTTCTACTAATACTTTCACGGTAACTGCTCCGACGAGCTACTTTTGCTAGTTCCCAAACTGCATGAATTTAAGCGTGCTACTAGGTTGGCATCTCCGTCCCACCCTTTCACTGTCGAAACTGTTAAGTGTAGCCGTCTCTTCTACTCCAATAGCTTCATGTCTCGCAATTCCC